GAGCCCCCATGAGTCTGTGTGTATTCAGGTTTAAGTCCCCACCAGAATAGAAAAACAGGTACACACACACACACAAACACACACACACTGGAAAACGACAATGTGAGTAAGAAATGTTCATCTCATGAAAGCTCTGCGGTTAAGAGTCCTGAACCTCGTACTGGTATGTCTGAAGCAGCTTTTGGTCTCTTTTTCTGTCTTTCCTCTACCTTCTCACTCTTTTGATGATCGACAAGCAATAACACAGAACATCCTCTGGAGGGAGACGCAGGATTTACATTCCATTAACCAAGAGCCGCTAGAGTCTGAAGGGCACTGTTATTTTGAGTGTGTTACTCTGCAATTCTCTCTCCCTTTCTATAATCACCCCACCCTGTGTGCTAACTCTCTTAAAGAACTGTCTACCCACGCTGCGCGCTCATCAGAGCTACAACGCGCTTTCCAGTGACCACAGTTTTACGCGCACAGGCATTCTTTCACAGACGCGCGCGCAGATGCGGGCAACGGGTGCGCAGAATATTTGAGCGCGTATTAATATATAACCTTTAAATGCGTATAAGCCTTTCTTAAAATATACTCTAAGTGCAATATCGTGAATAAATCGTTTTAAATTGGGTTAGAAACCGATATTCCTACCAATTCTCGCGGGGCAATGGATTTACGGAAAATGAATGAAACTCAGATCCCGTTTTGGGAATGTTCAAGAACTCCAGACAATTCCAGCGTGAACAGCTCAGCGTGGGAAGTTAACGCCACCTGTAGCAATGCGTCAATATTTCAGAAATTCAAACCTACACGACCAAAAGGTAAGAACAAACAATCCATGTTAAAGTTATGTTGTCTTGTTTCCCTGTTGCACTTTTTATTCCCACAGATAAATAAATAAATAAATCAGCATGATAAACAGCATGAAACATGATACGTCCAACCTCTGCTGATGATACAAAACTGTTTTTTTCCCAGTACAAATTATTCCTTATTTATATACTTTAGCTATAACAGCGTGCCTGAACATTATTTATGAAATCATACATCCCCAAAGCAATAACTGCTCCGCATCAACCACTACCGAACAAAGACGCATTAAAGATAAACTTCAGCAGCTTGTCTTTCAGTATGTGCGTTTATTGATTTAAGAAACTCATTAAGATGTGTGGTTATTTTTCTTTTAATAGTACAGCAGTGTATTTAATTCATTTTTGTAAGACAATATTTAAGAAATAAGTCAATATTTTCTTTTTTGTATTATTTCAAGAACTATGTCAGAGGTAATGGTTAGTGTAATTAAACCCCAAGGATGCTCTTTGCATTTTTCAGCTCTCATCAGCATCATTATACTCATTGAACATGCAAATAGTGTTTACTTCATTAGGACATGAACAAAAAAATCCTGGATAAATGTGGTCACTAGTTGATAGGTATTCAAAACCACAACCTCTTGAATGATTCGTGGGCAATTGAATGATTATCCTATTTTTTAAATAATAATTTTTGTTATAAATCTATGCATTCATGCAAGGTTGTGAATCAGACTGACACAAGTCAGGGGGAGTGTTTGGTAGCAGATTAAACTGCCTGTAAGGTCCTTCAGGCTGCAAAACTGTGGGCAACAATTTCAGCAGTTCATTTCAAACATTTGTAATTTGAGATATCCAACTTGACATTGATTAACCGAATAAAACCTCCCAGCTGGGAACAAAAAAATAATTCCATTTGATTTCATTTTTATGCACAAACACCCTACACTCTAAAAAAAAAAGGTTATTCAGCGGTTCTTCAGCGGTTCTTTGGAGTGGTTGAGGTGCTATATAGCACCACTACCGTATAAAGAAACTGTTAAGCACCTGTATGGTTCTTCAGCGGTTCTTGAGTAGTTCTTTGGAGTCGATGAGGTGCTATATAGCACCACTACCATAAAACCTGTACAAAACAATTTTGGTTCTTCAGCGGTTCTTCGGGGTGGTTGAGGTGCTATATAGCACCACTGCCATACAAAGAACCCATTAATCCCCTGTAGGTTCTCTAACTCAGTCTCTTAGTTTAGTTGGGGAATGGATTAAAAAACAACATTAAAATACAGTGTATTTCCTGAAGATAACGTGGTTCTCAACCTTTTTGCCCCCAAGGCCCCTCTAAGGAAATATTCCAGGGCCCCCACACAAAACTTTTTGACCTCAGAAAAGCATAAAACTGATTCAAAACAGCTTTTGCCATTATAGTAAAATTTAAGCTAATGAATATGGGGCCACATTACTAACCAGTTAGACTTTATTTCTGGAGTATCTAAAACAGAAGTTCTTTATTGAGAATTAAGGTTTAGATTTTTTTTTTCAACTTACCGTTTTGGTGAATAGCGTTTGCTTTAGTTGCCTCTTGACCCTTGACTTTAACTTTAAGTTAAAATAAGTTTTTCTTTGGCTGTTGCAATCGTGTTTATAAAGCACATATGTACTGGCAAGGAACTTACTGTAAAATCTTTACATGCATCTGAGTCTCTGGTTGCATATTATCAAAATCTTTATGACAAAGGTGCTATATAGCACCTGTAAAAATAGGTGCTAAATAGCACTAAAAGTGGTTCCCCTATGATTACGAGCCAAAGAACCGCTTTTAGTGCTATATAGCACCATTTTTTTTAGAGTGTAGCAGTGTCTCACCTAATTACGAAACTACAACAGCATTTCTTTTTCTGTTTTAGGTATCCACAAATTTTATAGATCCACACATTGGTGACTCACTCAATCAGGTGGTTCCACTCTTTGAAAAAGGTGGCGAGATTATCTAGTTTTAGCTGAGAGTGTTCTGATGTGTTCACTTACAGTATAAATGATGAAAGAAGCTGGCATACACTTGGCAAGACTGTGATTCATGCATGAGAATAAATGTAGAGCAGGAGAAGGTGAAATGATACAGTAGATTTTCAACAAATTCATAGATTACCAGTTCTTAAAGCATTCATCGACATAAATGTGAATTATTTTGAATTGGCAACACATATTAATACATATTACACCATCGATATTCTACCAAATGTTGTCCCAACTAACCCAATAGGGTTGAATGTACATTAGTTTGTTCCAGTTCTACAATATATATATATATATATATATATATATTGTAGATGTATAGTAATGAAAAATTACAAAGTACTAATCAAACTAATTATACATACAGATTCTTTGACTGGAGAAATCCCACTGTGGGGTAAGCACACGGGTTCAAGTTGTTGCCGCTTAGCATGGCCCCATTTGGTAGATGACGCAACTAACCATCTGGCTACAAAGAGCATCTTACTCCATTGACATTCATTCAGAAATATCAGTGTATTCTGATGAAATAATATTTTTTGTAAGCAATAAAAGTGCCTGAGTTTGTCCAAAGAGACTTAAAAGTGTAAAAAAAAAAATCAACATATTTCATCACAGCTCGGTATAGTTACTAACCACTTAGTAACTACTACTAGGGTTTTTGGTCCTACCAACATTTCATTCAGGTTGAACAGTAGGTGGGGATATTTGACTACTGCTATTAGTGGGTACTAACAAGCCCGAATACAAGCCCAAAAACCTGCAACCCACGACCCCCAAATTTATAAGCAACTTTATGAAAAATCAAGCTGCTTATAATAAAAGGACACAGCAGTTGCATGTTGTGCAATTTGCATTGCTATAACGCCATGTAATTTTCCTGCAGCTATAGAGTAATTAGTCACATGGCATTTTCGGCTCATGTGATTGGCTCAAAATGATTGGCAGCAGAATTTAACCTGCATGTGCCGCCATGAGCATAGCTGACAGATTTTTAAATTGTGTACTCCTAGAGGTTTTCTGCACTAACTGATGAAGAGGCATTGGGGGAGTGCTAATGCATAGCTTGTTTATTTCAATGTGGATCACTTAATATAATTATTTTACCACCACAAATGTCTCTATAAGAATGTTTTACCTATTTCTATACAGTTGCGATGACAATGCATTAACATAGAGGTATGATTCTTTGAAGTTTTTTGAATAGACTGCTCTAGAAATGAGGAGAGAAAAACATATTACCCCACTTTATATGTTTTCCATGTGAAAGGAATGCTTTTCTCAGTACATATCTTTTAAAATTACAAATTGAAAGGTTCTGACTAAACATTTATATTTTGCTGATTATATTTTATCTCTCTATAATTCTGACTGTGAATAGTCTTTCAACACCTCTCATACTCCACTGACTAGCTGTCTTCTCCATCCTACTCTCTCGTCTCCTGTTTCTTTTTCCATTTCTGGTATCCTGATATTAGCTGCGGCATCTCTTGCCAACTACCTGATGGAGTGTGAAGTGTGGCATTTTTGGATAAACCACTCAGTGTCTTAAGAAGGAGCCCACATATCTTGTATCATTACATCTAAGAGCTGTCATGTTAGGGTACTTGCACTAACTAACAATTTAAAACCAAATCATATGAGAGTTGGGGTTTCTGCTGGGTCCCATGTCCCATCCTTCCTCACACCCTTATGACACCCCTGTCTAATTGCCATTGCAGCATGAATAAATTATGTGGTAATATAGTTTGACTG